AGGACGATTAAATGTTGCTGGTGCATTTGACAGCCCATGGGGCATCTCCAGCCACTCCCAGAGCATGCCGCTTGGAGTACTCACCGCTGTCAGCGGAATATCACTCGTTCTCATGAGCAATTGGTAATACCCATCGACCAAGTCGAGTGCAATGTACTTCGTACATTCCACCATGTTGTTCTGAAGAACATCCTTTCTAGGATCGGCGTCTGTGCCGGAATGGTGGCAGCGTTGAGCTTATTGTACGCATGAACGATACCCCACTTACCGTTCGGCTTCCTATCACAAGACGTACGTGTCGGATGGGGAGACTTGCTCTCACGTACCATCCCTGCGTCGTGCTTTACACGGGAATAGGCGTCAATGACGTCGCACTGCTCCTTGGGCAAAATCTATTGATGTGTTATGCAGTATTTGGTTCTCGGAACCAGGTCAATCTCATGACGCACACCTCGGTCCGGAGGTAGGACCGAAGGCGGGTCTTTGTAGACGACGTCTTGAAATTCCTTTATTAAAGGAAAGTACGGATCCAAGGGATTCCGTAGGATCGACGATCCACTAAATGCGTTCAGCACTCTCGTGGTGTCCTCCAAGACAGCTTCATCCAGATGCGATGACGACTTTATCTCCTCGTCCGGTCGTACAATAATCACTTCGGCCAAATAGCCTGTCCTCAAGGCACTGCCAAACCCTTCAAGGTACATCTCGTCCAGCTCAAGAATAGCATCTACTGCAGGCATAGCCTCGAGGCAGATGTCGCCATCTTCCTCCCGTTGACGAGGGTGTATAACTGTTCACCACCGTCTACGGTAGACACACCCTGGATCAGGGTCGACACCCGGCTTCTTGCAGCCAGCATACGGAGTCGCCGTCGCCTCTGTACAGAGGTTTTATGTCTCGGTGAGACCAGAGTGAACACGCACTACGCGTCGTCCAGTGTCACCCTCACTGTCCGCTTCTTTGGAGCTCCGATGTTATCTACAACATCCGAAGAAGAGCTGCTAATCCCGCAGTCTTTGTCCAGTAGATAACGTGCGCATCTGAAGGGCCGTACCCAAGATGCCTCAGGCTCTGTCCGAACACGCCATCAATGGCATGCAGCGACTGCTTCGCAATGAGGTAAGTGCTCAGTGGTTTACGTGCCACTTCACGTGCATCACGGGGGCCTCGCCCTCGATGC